GCAACCTTGACCACCATGGATCTCCCTTTACTACTGAGTTTTCTATTCTTGGTCATGATTTTAATTCATTTCTACCTTTTTCTTGCAATAAATGTATAATTTAGTCTATAATATTATGATTGGTGTCATCGTTCCATTTCATATAAGTGTTAATTTCATCGTTAATGAAATTCACCGACAATATTAATTGTGTGAATTGTGTAATATGAAAGTAGATTATACTAATTTAGTCTATAATATTATGATTGGTGTCATGCAACCTTGACGACCATGGCTCCCCCTTGAAAAAGTATTACAAACGACTAAGGTTCAMAAATAACTATTTTTCAGGTTTTTTTACTGTTACCCTGATAACACTCGTTAAGACAACGTTGCCCTTGTRCYTCCAAGTATTTCAATAAGTGGTGGATCAAKGATGTTACGGATGAGCTAGAGCCTGAGAAATGAAGATCTTTGGTAATTTTCATTATCAACATTGTCAAATAGCATTTCTCTTATCTAGCGAAACACAAAATAAAGTAGCGGCCTTCTCTTTCCTTATYCAACAAATAAAAGTTCGTAAATTGTAAAGGTTACAAATACATAGAAACATAATGGGAAAATATAAATTTCTTTTACCAAGAAAAAATATAAATTTTAAACCTTGAAATTAAGAGTGTGTATCAATTTGCACCTTATAAATTGTAATTTTATTCGTATTGCAAACTTTACCATTCGATAGATTTTCAAGTGAAAATTGTTCAAAAAATATTCTTGTGTCATAAGAAAAAATATATTTTTCGTATGAAATCATCAATAGGATTCAGGAAAAAAATAATCAATATTTTTTAGCTTAATTTTGTAAGTTTTACCTAGATTTTGTGTATTAATCAAACTAAATTTGAGAAACCCGATTTTTTTTAATTAATGAGTTTTTATAGATTTTTTATTGAATAGAGGGACAAAAATTATGAATTAAAAATTATTAAAAAACACTTAATTAAACATAAAAGTTAAATTATTTATGTTAAATGAAAAATACATTTTTCTAAAAAAAATAATATTTAAAAGCCATAGACCGTCACAATAAAAATATATTTTTATGACATTTAAATTAACGTAGAATCCAAATTAGTTTGGAAGATATTTCATATGGTTACTTGATAACTATTTCRATTTTAATTTTTTATTTTTAGAAATTATGTTTGCTTCCTCATCATTTATTTATTTTTTTTCTAGTTATATTTTACACTTAACTCATCATTTGATAATCATATATTTGATAACTGTTTTTGTTTTTTATTTTTGAAAAACTAAAAACCAAACACATGATAACTATTTGGTGGTTTTCTATTTTTAAAATGTTAGAAAATTGAAAATATATGTTTTAAAAAATATATGTAAAATATTAGAGATGCTGTAATGTAGGAGTTGGGATGCCCTCTTTCACGAAATTTAGGTCCAGGTTTAGGAATCTTCGTTTGGGGACGAGGATCTCAASGAGAAAAACTATTTGTTTAATAATAAATTTTAATTTTTTTAGAATTTAAAAAATAAAAAGTTATAACGTTATATAATTTATATWATTTACTCAAAAATTAATATTTACTGGTATAAATAATTAGATTAATATTTATTCATAATTTARGAAAACAATTAATGAAATATATATTAATTATTTAGAAAATAGAATAGGAGACAGAAACATGGTTAGAAATTCATTCTCTTTCTTAAAAGTGAGAACTCAAGACAACGAGATGCTTAGAATATTGAAAAAAAAAACTTTTAAAAGAGAGATTTTAGAGAGTTTGAGAAAAGTTAGAAAAATAAATTGGTGAAGGAAAAGTTCAAGGAAAAAAGTTGAGCAAAATACGTTAAAGAAGAAAGAAAATTAGATTGAGAAAGAAAAATTATAGCGATAACAAAATTTGGACAAGAAAAAGTTCAAAATATATTAGTAACATAAATTAAATAAATAAAAAGAGAAGAAAAGTTATAAGTAAAAGAAAATTGGATGAAAAAACATTTAGATAGAAAAAAGCAGAGGATATAATTCTTAAAGGAAAAAAAAAGAATTATAAAATGTGAAATTTAATATTGAGAAATGTTTAGAATAATATTAAATTTCCAGAAATAGAAAAAAAGAAAGTGACATGTTAGAAAAAAAACAAAGAAATATAAATATATACCCATGAAAATTTTGGAGGAGAGAAATATTTTAAAGATGAAAACTTCAGAGAGATTTTTTTAGAGAGAAATTTAGGTAGAAAAATATTTTACCACGAGAAAAAATTTATTAAAGAGAAATATGTGAAAAAAAAAATTGAGCAAAAACAAAAACCTATTTTTAAAAACTACTTTTTTTTTTTTTGAAATTTACTGAGGATTTCAAAAACGAGAAAATCTAATCTCATTTTCCAATGACATTTTATCACCTTACATTTTGTAATTGTAAATTGACATTTTATCTAAAACATTAATAAGAATAACATAAAACACATTGTTTTCTACAATGACATTGACAACACTTCAAAATGAACTTATTCCTTTCATCATATTCAAACTATTTTCCTTGTTCAAAACGAACAGTAAACAAAACCAGAGTAACCTGATGGCTGATCAATTGAATTTGGGAGACATAATGCCATCAGCTTCAGCGTTTATTCATTCTTCAAGACATTCCTCTGATGTTAAATCCAAACTCTTCCCTCAAACTCCTTGTCCAGACAATCCTTGAATAAACCGAAAACCGATAAAATAGCTTTCCAAAACTGTGGATTTGCTCTGTGGGATTATTAATAAATGACATCAAAGACAAAGCAGCCATGTTTTGAACGGAATTKAATTAATAATCCCCTCTCCTGCTGCTGATGAGATCGCTGACTAATTTATCATTATCATCCTCACATTGATCCAAGTATTCTTTGTAGGCAGGATTATAAGCTGCAGCTAACTGCAAGTATTTGGTAGCTTCAGCCTTGCGACCTTCATTGTATAGAGCACTGAAATGACAAGAAATAAGATTTTAGTAAATTTCAAGCGCAGGTAAATTTTGAGTTCTTGTTGAGGGAAGTTGTTGAGATTTGATATTTTTCTTAACTAAGGTTGTATTAAATTTCTGTTAGTATTTTTTAAGTTTCCTACTTTATTGTTAGATTTAATCATWCAGTTTCAAGTCTTTAAGTTTCCACTTCAAACATTTATCATTAATGTTTTTATTGTTTTTAAGTTTCTAAGTTGTTAATCTCAAATAAGTTTAAAGGTTTCAGTGGGAAGGCTTTTTAAAACATTTGTTGTATCACCAGATTTTGTACCATTCAATTTTGTATCACTTCAATTAGAAGTTTGAATTCTTCTTCTATTGAAATTATACTCTTATATTCATTTTTCCTCATTATTCATCATTGAGATTTTTATTATTGCTTCTGCAATATTTTTATCACTTCCATTTTCTTAACAAAAGGGAGGGTGGGATCTTTAAAAATAATAATAATAAAATTTTAATATAAAAATCCCCATTGGTAATGGGTGGTAAGTGAAAGATGAATCTGATAGACTGGTCTRATTCAAACCTTGCTAGCAGAACCAAACCATCGTAATAATGGGCTTTACTCTTTGCTTCTTCTGGCTCTTTCATATTTGCAATTCTTTCCAGGTGGGCAATCCCTTCTACCATTTTCCCCTGACACAACAATAACGTAGAGAAATTTTGTTATTATAACATAATCAATAGTCACAATCTGAGCCTCGAAAAAGATATTTGGATATTACGTCAAAGTATCCAAGAAAAAAGTGATGCAATGACAAACTGCTAGGTCTAGGGATAAACCCTACAAAACATCAACTTCATCAAGACGGTTATTGCCCAGATCAACCAAAAGAAACCATGAATTTCACTTCAAATTGAAATGTCTGGTGGTTTACCAGCTACAGGTAAACCACAGTTGTACAAGGATGAAATTCATTGTTCTTGAAAAAAAATCTTCATTTCCAACTATCCTCAGACATGCCAATCATAAAATTCATGTGTGCTGGTTGTCCAATGCTGAAACATATTGACTGACATGTCCACATATGAGAATTTCATGAAATGTTGGTGGATCATTGGAAATAAAGATTTGAACTTCATAAAGCTTAAGAAAATTTACCGAATTTCAAAATTAAAATATCAACATTATATGATAACGTCCATCCTAGTTATGTTTAAATTCTATCTAACAAGCTGTAAATAAACAGTTGTGGAGAATGTTTCTAATAAACAGATATGATTCAAACTACCTTGATCTCCTTGTTAATAGCCATAGGGTAAATAAATAAAACATGGACAAGGGTAAATAAATAAAACATGGACTATTCTCACCTGCCTTATACTGGCAACTCCTGCCCATTGGGAAGCAAGAATTAGAAGATCTACACCCTCGACTTCCATGGGACGACCGGAAAGAAATAACTGAACAAGAAACAACTAATGTTTTAGTAAAAATAAGAGAGGAGAAAAAATGAGTATCAAAAATATCTAAATTGCGTTTAAAAGCATGCGTCTTGTTCAGGGATGTAAGAGATGAGGTAAAGGTAACACGATAGTACCATACATGCTATACAGTTAAAAAGCTCTTCCAAGAAAGGATCTTTTTCTGGTGACCTACGGACTAAGATCCCCCTTTTTATATTTTTTTTTATTGTTTTCCTTTAAGTCAATAATAATGATAGGATTGCTATTAGGATAGTCTGGTGATATTATTAGGGTATTAAGGGTATATTAGTAATTAGGTTAGGGAGTTTGGTTATAAATAAGGTGACGGGGGAAGGATGAAGGTAAGCAATTGGTAGCATTGTTTAGGCTTGAGAAGGAATACTCAAGAGAGGGGGGGTCCAAGTACCTCGAATTACTTTGGATGATATTGTAGTTATTCTATCTTTTATATTTCAACATATTGTTAGCATTCGGGTTCTATCAAGTTTCTCATCCCTTTATTTTTCTTTCCTTAAATAACATACCCATTTCTTTCTTTTACTTTCCTTCCTAGTTAACTTAATTACCATTAGAACTATTTCCTTTATTGTACATTAGCTCTCTCCTTAGATCAGGTTGTAAATCTGGTCCAACTCAAAAAAGAGAAAAAAAATGGTGATTCTATTCTTAATTCTGAAAAATCTTTATACTCGAACCAATTACTTCTTGAGCACCTTCCAATTCTGGACACCTCTCTCAAATTCATTTTTGCATTTTTAAGTGTATGACTTCTATTCAAGAGAAGTAAGCTTGATATTAAGGCCATCAAGTGCATATATTTTTGTCTATGCTACAAATCAAAAGGGATACAAATGTTACCCACCAACTTATAGAAAATTCTACATAATCCCAGATGTATCCTTCTTTGAATCTTAACCGGTAAGACTAATGAGATTTCTAATATTCATAAATATTTGTATGTTATGTTAATTGTACTAAATATTTAGTTGGTAACTACCACTAGTTTACAAATATATTACTAAACATTTATTGAACAATTTTTTAAATTGAGATTCAATTTTCAAATATGCTGCCAAACACATATCTAAAAACACTGAAAATAAAGAATACAACTCTATTTTTTATTAAATCCCCTGTTTTCAGATCACCAACCAAACGTACCCTAAATTTCTATATTATTCTCTCTTTGTGAGTGAATAACAATAGGGTTGTTCACTAATTAGACATACAAAAATTATTTCTCAACAGTGACCCAGCAAAATAAGGATACATGGCTAGTGATCTAGCAAGAGGTAAACATGGATATTCATGCAGGTATAGAAACTCCAAAGACCACCAATAAACCGTGCAAACTTAGGAAGGCCCGATATCACTTGGAACAATCCCAAAAGCGTGGTTTGAAAATTTTTCTAKAGCTGTAAAAGGAAGACGAAACTTGCGATGTAAATCTGATCACATGGTTTTTGTCAAATATTCTCATAAAATAAAAATAGCTATTATCATTGTCTAACTGGATGCATTATCTTTATTGGAAACCATGAAGAAATAAGAGATTTAAAAAAAGCTCCTGGCCAAGGAGTTCCAAGTAAWAGACTTAGAAGGTCTTGAGGTATAGAAGTGACTCGTTCAAAGAAAAATTTGTGCATGTCTTAAAGAGAATATGTCCTCGATCTTCTAAAGAAACATGCACGTTCGGCTGTAAACCTAGTAGTACTCCTCTTGATCCTAATCCTAATTTAGCAAGGAAAATATACCAATTAACAAAGCAATATTTACCTCAATCACACTAGATTTTGATATGCATTTGGTAGTTAGTTATGCAAGTCAATTTATACATAATCCCACTAAAGAGTATAAAGATTGTTTTCAGAATCTTGAGATACATAAAAGTAACAACTTGAGAAGGTTTGTACTTAGAAAAACAATAAGAAATGTCAAAATCTACAGTGATGCTGATTGAGAAAGCTTGAAAGTCTGTAGAAGGTCAACMACGAGATATTGTTCCTTTGTTTGGTAAAACTAACATGGAGAAGTAAGAGACAGTTAGTTGTGTCAAGGAGTATGTAGAACCTGAATTAAAACCACTAGGGCAAGAAATATGCGAAGGAAAATGACTTCAAGGAATCCTAATTGACTAAGAAAAACATTAGAGGAACTACTGGAGACTTCTTGTCAAAACCAAGTAGCCATGAGCAACAAAGATCCTATATATCATGATCATATAAAATATGTGGAGATTTATCACTACTTCAGCAAATAGAAAATTGAGGACAAAAGCACTTCCTAGCTACATATCGACATAGATACAAAATGAAGATATCCACATCCCTTTATTAAAAAATCCTTAATGTCTCCCGGATCCGGCCTTCGGGTGGGCATGGGTGCTCCTGGGTATGGGGAGCAAAGCTCCAACTCCTCGTCGTTAAAAAGAAAGAAAAAGGAAAAAAAACAACTTAAATAAACAAGCAAAGTTTAATAACGAGGGGAGTTGTCAAAAGGCCCTTAAAAGATTCCACTTGGCCCATGACCTTCTGAACCAAGATCCCTTTTCTCCATTTTATTATATTATTTTCCCTACGTACATAATTTCTCCTCGTTTATTTTTCTTCGTTGGGCAAAATGCTCGTTTCTTTCTTTTCCTTTCTTACTTTTCCTTTCTTTCCTTGTTAAGTTGGTTACTTCTGGAAGTTTTTCCTTTCTTGTTCATTAGCTCTCTCCCCAAATTAGGTTTTTCATCTCATCCAATTCAATGAAAAGGGTGATCATACTCTCAATTCTGGAAATCGTCATATACTATTATCTAGAACACTAATAATTGTCAACACATCATACCATGTAGGAGCAAGATTCATCATACACTAATAAGAAAAATAAAATACAACACTTAAATACAGACCTTGGAAATTGCACGCTCTAGGTATTCAGTAGCCTCTTCAGGTTGACCACTTTGTAACAGAGTTTGTCCCATGACAATCAGAGCTCGAACATACTCAGGTTCCTTGTTAAGTGCCTGTCTAAATTATTAAATTAGTCATGTGTAACCTTTTTTGTTACCTTCTCCTTGCAATTTAGGGCAAAAAATCACCCGCCAGAGAGGCCCATATAGATGATAGTGAAATCTAAAGAGGGAAGACAAGATCTTACCTCAGTAAAGGAATAGCCCTTTCCTTTTGCCCTTTTGATAGGAGTTGGACAGATAACTGTCAAGTTTAATCATTAGCAACCTTATAACGTTTGTATTACATTTACTCGAATCAAATAAAAAGAAAATTGAGCTCAGCATAATTTACAGCAAGCAATTCTTTAGGAGACAACTTCTCTACAGAAATTCTTTTCCACTTGGTGGGTGTATCCAACGGTGCTTTTCCTGGATTATTGGTGCCCATAGGAGCATCCTTCAAAGGCAATCCCAGTTTACTGCGGACAGCAGGATGTTGGAGGGTTAATTGCTGCAAAATTGATATAAAAATAAGCTTTTCAAGATCTGTAAACAAACCAGTAAAAAAATAAAAAATAATAAAAAAAAAGATATGTAACAAACCAGAGATTATGCAAACTACCAAGAGATTTAAAAAACTAAATTTTTTTAAAAATAAATCTAAAAAACTTTCTATTAAAGAGGAAAACATGTACAAAATCAGAAAGATAAGATATCCTACAAAACCAAAACCCAAGAGATTAAATAAATAATCTCCAACTGACATTAATGAAGAGAGTAATTAAAAAAAAAAATGCTTTACTAAAGAAATCCACAAGGAGGCCAAAGAAAGCAAAACATTAAATTTTTTATAAAGAGAGAGAGAGAGAGAAGTAAAAAAAAAAGCTCTTTATTTAAAACCCCAATTGTTTGTACGACTCAAAAAATCTTGATAGTTCTGGCAGTTGGACTGGACATGGACTTGGGAAATCCATACAAGCGGATCATTTCTGAAACAAACTTGGCAACCATCATTTCAGCTGTACACGAATGGCAGCCTTGTCAAAAGGAGTGGTCAACGATATGCCAACCATGGTCGAAGTAATTGTTAATCAATTCCCTAAATTATGCACAGCATGTCAGCAACTCAAGAGGTACTCATGTGTTAGAGAGGATGACCATGCCACTATTCTCAACAAGAATACATTCTCAATCTATGTTAGGCCTTATTGTTACCCTCGTGCTTCAGAAGAACAAGAAAGAGAGGGTAGTAGGGGAGACGTTTGCAACCGTGGTCATCCTACCCAATCGTAGCCCATTTTCAAGTACAGTTCTATTAGTTAGAAAAAGGATGCTTTTGCTTTGACAACAAGCCCTTATTTGGGGGTTTAGAAGGTACATTCAGGAACCCTTGAAAAATCATCTCTTTGGGGCCTGGGGACACCYATMTTTTCAAACTTTGCGAATTTTTCTATTGTAGCCCATTTTCAAGTACAGTTCTATTTGTTAGAAAAAGGATGATTTTGCTTTGACAACAAGCCCTTATTTGGGGGTTTAGAAGGTACATTCAGGAACCCTTGAAAAACCATCTCTTTGGGGCCTAGGGACACCCTTCTTTTCAAACTTTGAGAATTTTTCTATTGGGGATGGCTCGAATACTTATTTCTGGGAGGATTTGTGGTTGGGTGATAGCTCCCTTAGTATTTTGTTCTCTCAATTATACCACCTGTCTTCTTTGAGGTTTCGTCTAGTGGCATCGACCATCTCATGTTTTGGCAATTCATATTCATTTAGTTTCAGTTTCCGCTGCCTCTTTCAAACAAGAAGTCATTGGATGTGTATGCACTTCTTTGTCTTCATAGAGACCCCATCTTGGCCCAGGTAGGTAGGGATGTTTGTTTTTGGTCCCCCAACCCTTCACAAGCATTCTCTTGTCGCTATATCTTTCTCATTTTGGGCAACCACCATACAACGCGCTTTATTTGCCTCATTGTGGAAGGTAAAAATTCCCAAAGGGTTAAGTTTTTTGCCTAGCAAGGCATTCTTCCTTTTTGTTTGCGCCACACTAGTGCATTCTTTATAAGTAGGTACCTAAGGATTTGGATCATATGCTTCGGAGATGTAAGTTTGCTCTCTTGATTTGGAATTCCTTCGTGGAGACATTTGGTGTAGTTTGCCTTGCAACAGCAATTGTTGTCGTATGATGGAGGAGGTTTTATTCCACCTCCCTTTTCATGATAAGGGGCATATTTTCTTGCCTACTATTTTTCTCTTTTTTTTTTTTATGGAGTATTTGGCTTTTGAGTAATGGGAGAATTTTTAGAGGGTTAGAGAGGTCTTGGGAAGAGATGTAGGCTCTTGCCAAGTTTAATGTCTCTCGCAGCTTCTATTTCTAAAGACTTTTGTAATTATCCTCTTTTATTCTTTTGGATTGGAACCTTTCCTTTATCTGGTTAGGTTTTTGGTGATGTTTTAGCTCCCTTCTTGGGCCGTGGTTTTTGTAAGTCCCTTCTATTCTCTCTGGCTTTTCAGCAATGCGCACAAAAAAAGAAAGGTTAATTGTGAAATGACAATCAGGCAATTCAACTGAAATAAGAATTGGTGACAGAAAAAATCCAACTGGCTCTCACGATCAACTGCTTGTAGAAGTTGGCTTTTGCTGGGGTGTACACGAGTTGGGTTGGGTCGAGTTAGGGAAATTTTTTGGACC